GCTGCTAATCAAATATGTGTGTCAAATATCCAAACTTGTGATTGTGTCCGTGGTTCATATATTTGTTTTTGCACGGATATAATCACAAGTTTGGGTATTTGACACTTATATATTTATTAGCAGCGCAACACTTATTATTATTGTAATCTTGGTTCAGCCCCCGGTCACATCAAAGACGATTTGGAAATCGTGCGACTTACAGTGAAGTCGCACGATTTCAAAATTGGGTCACCTGCCGATTTCCTTGCGATTTGCAAGATATCTGATACAGATGTCTATGTAAATCGTATGAAAAGTAGCGCATGCACTACATTAGAAATGTGAGAACCTGCCCATGTCGGAACAATACCGATATGACCGCTCTAATAGCGGACAATAGGATGCGACTTGGCCTACGATTTGCAAGTTGCCTGGCATGCAAATTGCATGCCAAATCGCACCCATGTGACCGGGGGCTAATGTGATGAACACACAGTTTATATGTTTGCAGCACCTCTATTTAACCACTTGCCTACCGGGCACTTTCACCCCCTTCCTGCCCAGGCCGATTTTCAGCTTTCAGCGCTGTCGCACTTTGAATGACAATTGCGCCGTCATGCAACACTGTACCCAAATAACATTTTTATAATTTTTTTGAGACAAGTAGAGCTTTCTTTTGGTGGTATCTAATCACCACTCGGGTTTTTATTTTTTGCTAAACAAACAAACAAAAAAAAAGACCAAAAATGTTGGAAAAAAATGTTTTCCTTTAGTTTCTGTTTTAAAATTTTGCAAACAGGTAATTTTTCTCCTTCACTGATGTGCACTGATGAGGCTGCACTGATGGGCACTGATATGCAGCACTGATGGGCATTAATCGGCTGCACTGATAGGCGGCACTGATGAGGGTGCAATCTTAGGCAGCACCGATGGGCACTGACAAGGAGGCACTGAAGAGACTGCACTGATATGCGGCACCAATGGGCACTGATAGGCGGCACTGACTGGTGGTGCTGATAGACACTGACTGGCAGTACTGATGGACACTTTTGAGACTGCACTGATGGATAATATTGGGGCTGCTCTGATGGACAATGTTGGGGCTGCACTGATGGACAATGTTGGGGCTGCACTGATGGACAATGTTGGGGCTGCACTGATGGACAATGTTGGGGCTGCACTGATGGACAATGTTGGGGCTGCACTGATGTCCTCTTTCACAGTTGCCGGTTATCGGTTGTCCTCTCTCCTAACACTGTGACAGCATGAGGAAAGTGCAGCCAATAACCGGCAACAGTGTTTACATCATGATCAGCTTTGCCATTGGACACAACTGATCACGTGGTAAAGGGCCTGTGATTGGCCTTTACCATGATATGTGATCAGGCTCCACCCCTGAACACCTCTCCAGAGTAGTACAGTGTTACTATGGTAACACTGTATTGCTGTTGCCACAGTATACTGTATAAGAAAATGTAAACAAAGAAAAAAATGTAATAAAGAAAAATAAATTTTAAACATTTTAAAAAATACATTATTTTTCTTTCAGGTAGTTATACTGTATAGTGCTGTCAATTTACGCAGTGCTTTACATATGTATATTGTACATTCACATCAGTCCCTAACCCTCAAGGGGCGTACAATCTAAGGTCCCTAACTCACATTCATACATACACATACTAGGGCCAATTTAGACAGGATCCAATTAACCTACCAGCATGTCTTTGGAGTGAAACCCATGCAGGCACAGGGAGAACATGCAAACTCCAGGCAGGTGGTGCCGTGGGTGGGATTTGAACCAACAACCCCAGTACTGCTAGACAGAAGTGCTAAGCATTTAACCACTGTGCTTTTTTTCCTTTTCCATACTGTCACCAGTCAATGTCCCTGATCTCCTCCACACCAGAAAAAAAAAATACTTTGGACTGTCAACTTTCCACAAAGGGGTCATTTGGTTGTTATTTGTACTATCCTGGCATTTCCGGGCCTCAGTACATCAGGAGTGATCGATTTTCTGAGTTTGTGGACTATGTAACTCTTCTACAGACTGAACATTACACACAGAGATTTGGGTTATTTTCACCAAAGAAATATAGCAGAATACATTTTGGCCTAAATTCATGAAGAAAGATTATTTATTTGCAAAATTTGATAACAGAAATGAAGAAAAATGTGTTTTTTTTTTCAACATTTTTTTTTTTTAATTTAGCAAAAAATAAAAAAAAAAAACAGTGCTGATTAACCACTTGCCCTCCAGAAGATTTATCCCCCCCCCCCCCCCTTTCCTAGGCCACCACTTTTTGCGATACGGCGCTGCGTTACTTTAACTGACAATTGCACGGTCATGCAACGCTGTACATAAATAAAATGTATGTCCTTTATTCCCACAAATAGAGCTTTCTTTCGGTGGTATTTGATCGCCTGTGTGTTTTTATTGTTTGCGCTATAAACAAAAAACGTCCCGACAATTTTGAAAAGAAAACAATATTTTTGACTTTTTGCTATAAAACATATCCAGTAAAAAAATAAAAAAAAAATTAAATTTCTTCATAAATTTAGGCCAAAATGTATTCTGCTACATGTCTTTGCTGAAAAAAAACCCAATATATGTAAATTAAATTGGTTTACGTAAAAGTTATAGCGTCTACAAATGGCGGTATAGATAGTGGAATTTTTATTTTTATTTTTTTTATACTAGTAATGGGGGCGATCAGCGACTTATAGCGGGACTGCGGTGGGAACTAACTGCCACTGACATCTGAATGACACTGATACAGTGATCAGGGCTAATAAAAAGCACTGACACTGTACTAATGGCACTGGGCAGGAAGGGGTTAACATCTGGGGCAATCAAAGGGTTAACTGTGTGCTGTTTAACATTATGTGCTGTGTGTGTTTTACTAGGGAGACATGCTGTGGCAGAGAAATACACAGCAGCATGTGCTTGCTGGCAGGAGTTAGACCTGTATTGTTTACACACAGGTCTCTCCCTTGTCAGCTTTACACAGTGATCGTCGGGTGCCGGCAGGGGAATCTCCGTCCGGGACCCGGTGATTGACATCCCTAGCCGCCAATGGCAGCACGGGTAGGGCGGTGTACATGCTCCCTACCTGGAAATGCAAATCACATATATATATATATGTGATTTTTGCGCAGCCCTGCCGCCCTGTAGCAGTAGTTCTGCTATAGGGCGGTGGGAAAGCAGTTAAATACCACCAAAAGAAAGCTCTAGATGTGTAAAGTGTTGCATGACCGCACAATTGTAATTCAAAGCGTGACAGCGCTGAAAGCTGAAAATTGCCTGGGCAGGAAGGGGGTGAATGTGTTCAGTATTGATGTGGGTGAACTTAAAGTAGTTCTAAAGGCTCAAGCCTTTTTACCTTCATGCACGACCTTCAAACACAACCTGCATAGGTGTGAACCTAGACTGAAAAAATGCTTGAATCAAGGGTTTCAGGTGTTCCCATTGAAATCTTTGGGGACAAAAACACTCAATTCTGCCTGAAAAGTAGTTCATGTACTTTTTAAAGTGAGAGGCGTTCAGCTACAAGCAACAGGATTCCCCAATGTGAACAAGGACTACTGAATACAATGAGTGTTTGCTTGCTGAGCATTTCTTGAGCTTTGAGCTAGCTACAAGCTACAAAACCCTCAGGTGTGAATGGGGCTGATACATAGACCTCATGGATTGAACACTTTACACATTTTAAACCACTTCAAGTCTGGACACTTTCACCCCCTTCCTGCCCAGGGCAATTTTCAGCTTTCAGCGCTATCACACTTTGAATTACAGTTGCGCGGTCATGCAACACTGTACCCATATGAATTTTTTACCATTTTTTTGAGACAGATAAAGCTTTATTTTGGTGGTATTTATTCACCGCTGGGATTTTGTAAATGAAAAAGTCCAAAAATTTTGAAAAAAAAAAGTGTTTTTTCTTATAAATTTTTGCAAATAAATAATCTTTCATCAAAAATCTTGGCCGAAATGTATTCCGTTATCTTTTTAGTAAAAAAAATATAAGCCAAATTAGTTTATAACCAAAAATTATAATTTTTAAACATTTTTTTTTACATTTTTATTTTATTTTTTAATACTATTATTTTTTTTTGTTACATACTGTCACCCTAGTAGTACAGTGTCACCATGGTGACACTGTATTACTTGTGGGGGGTGATGAAGATTTTTTTTTTTTTTTTTACAGTGATTGCTTTTACACCCATATAGGATGTGTAAAAGCAATCATTTCTCTTTCTCTCTGTCTGCATTCTTGCAGCCATTGAGAAATACTGTGTGAGCTGTGATTGGTCACAGCTTGTCACATGGTACAAGGCTGTTGTGAATAGCCTTGTACCATGTGACCTCTGTGATCATTCACAGATTTCACACGTAGTAAGCAATGATGTCACAAGTGACATCTTGCTTACTACTCTGCATGTGATCACTGATTGGCCTATCAGTGCACACATGATCGGGACCTCGCACAGAGTTTCACTGTGTCCGGAGGACACAGCGGGCACCGGATCACGGTGCTGCGCGCGCTCCCAGGGAGCGCGCACAGCTAGAAATGGCGGGTGCCGTTTATGAACGGTAACCCGCCCCGGGAGTGCCACCATTCCTGCCATTTAAAAACAGCAGGCGGACGGCAAGTGGTTAAACAATTGATTCCTGATCTTCTTATCTGTCACTTTCTCTTGCAGTTCTCCTCGGTGTGTTGGTGGATGTGTCCAGTGGAATGATGAGTATTGAGGTGATCCCTCCGTATCCGGTCATCGGGAGATCTGTCACTCTGAGTGTTACTGGGATTACTGGGAGAATTGTGGTTATTATTTGGTATAAAGGATCGATCACAGACAGAGAATATCAAATCCTTACATATATCCCTGGTGATAATCCAATAATTCCTGGACCTCTGTTCATCCGTGATAGGATGACAGCTTTCCCCAATGGATCTCTACAGATCTCCAACCTAAATATCTCTGATGAGGGAGGTTACATAGTGAAGATACAAACAGATAAACAAAGTGATACCAATGTACACCTGAAAATCTATGGTGAGTAATCCATCAGAAGATTGTCAGATTTATCCAGAATGGACTCGTGTTTTCATGTAATAGTTTCGGGGGTTATAGCAGACATCGCCTTATTCCAGCATCAGCTCCATCCCTGCTGTTCAGGATCTTCGGTGTACAGCCAATCAGAGACTGCCGGCGCCACAGCCAGTCCAATGCCAAGTGATTTTTTTTTTTAAAAAGGGTCAGTGCATGTGTTACTCAGCATTAAGGGTGAAACCTGAGAAATTATTAAAAAAAAAAAAAAAAAAAAAAAAAAACAGGGGTTCTAGCACCCCCCTTATTTAACCTAAAGTATCTCTCCAGCTCCATGTTTCTGTACGTCACTGGAGTTTGAGCCGTTATACCACGATGACGCTTGCAGCCACAGGCATCATCCCAGTACTATCTGTTAGAGCCAGCAGTCTGCTCTTTTGTAAAAGCGATCGTAGTGGTTAACTGCCGCTCGATCGCTATTACAAGCAGCAGGAGGGGACGTTCCCCCCCCCCCCCCCTTCCGCCCTTTCCGCTGTTCGCTCGGGCTCTCCCATCCCTCCAGGAGACCCAAGCTATCAGCCGGTGCATTCACCGGCTGGCCGGACGTCCGAACGAACAAAAATCGATTTAGATCAGGATCTCCACTGTGGTAACCCGGAAGCAATGACCTGACGTCACTTATGGTTTACCCGGATGTCAACAGCGCAATTTTAAAAAACTAAAAGCATGGAGCTTGGTATTTTGAATGCTTTTAAGTGCAGAGGAGGGATCTGGGGTCTTTTTGATAAAAGAAAAATAACAAAGTGACTGTGTAAAAATAAAAACATTCAAATAAAATAAATAAAATAAAAAATGTAATGCACCCCCCCCCCCCCCCCCATCGTTCCTTGCTCAGGCGAATAGTTTGGCGCCTATATATATATATAGAGTGTATTTGAAAAAAAAAAAAAAATCAGATGTGTTTGAAACCTGCTGCGCAAATACCGTGTGACATAAACAACCACCATTTTATTCTCCAGGGTCTCTGCTGAAAATATATGTAATGTTTGGGGTTTCTAGGTAATTTTCTAGCAAAAGTAAAAAAAAAATAAAACTTTTTACAGGTAAATAAAAAAGTGTCAAAATAGGCCTGGTCTTGGAGTAAGACCCCCGTTACACTAAATGAGAATTGGCATGCGATTTTCATGCCATGTGACTTGCAAATCGCAGCCTATTGTCCACAATTAGAGCGGTCATAACGATTCGATTGGGTCAGAACCGCACCGATTTCTAAAGTAGTACATGCAAATACTTTTGGTGTGATTTGCATAGAAATCTGTATCAGATGTCATGCAAATCGCACCTGAAATCGGCATGTCATCTGAGTTTGAAATCGTGCGACTTCACTGTAAGTCGCACAATATCAAAGTAGGATTTGATGTGACCGGGGGGGTTAAGATTGCATGCTTGTTTTTTTCATGTTTATTTTGCACCAAGTGCAGTTTTATATTTTTTGTTACAATTGTGTAGTTGAACCAGAAAGACCTTCCTGTAGTAGAACTGTTCCCATTTTTCTCCCCCTACAGACATGGTTGGTAAACCTACAATCACAACTTCTTCCTCGCTTCCTAAAGAAAAGGATTCAGTCACCCTCACCTGTACCTCTACTAATGCAGAGAGAATATTATGGAGCAGGGTCCCCTCAGGAGCCCCTCTCCCTTCTGGGGCCACTCTATCTCAAGATAACAGGACTGTCTCCTTCTCCAGGATTCACCGTTCGGACTCCGGAGGTTATAGATGCCAGGCTAGTAACCCTGTCAGTACGGAGAACAGTGATCCCGTCACAATGACCGTGGCCTGTAAGTAGCCGGGACTGTCATGCTAACAGTAAAATACAAAGTATCCTGCCTGTAATCAAGCTTAGTATAGGGGAATGCTGAGCCAAAAAAACCCGTTTTTCCTGCTATTCATGGCTCTATTTGGGAGATTTACCCTCATTTGTGTCCCTGTTACCAATCCCCCCCCCCCACCACCACCACCCTTCATGTCTGTTGAAACCACTGTCAGCAGGACAGGAATTGAAGACAAATCTCCCCAAGGCTCCATTCACACTTGTGCGACTTGTCATATGACTTAGAACACATAAAATTGCATGACAAGTTGCAGCCCATTTTTTCACTGGAAATCGTTTGGATGTATGCGACTTTAAATCACAGCGACTTTAAAAAGGTCCCTGCACTTCTTTGATGTGACTTTCATGTGACTTGAGTGCCATAGACTGCAATGTAAACTCTCAAAAGTCACATCTTAATGTTATCAATGCGACAGTTGTGCAACAGTCAAAGCCAAAGTCGCATCCGAGTTGCACCCATCCAAAGCTGCATCAAAATCGCAATGGAAATCGCACAACTTTGGAGTCGCACAAGTGTGAATGGATCCTAAGGCCTAACCTGACCTGACCAAGTGACAAGCAGGCAGACCACTCCACTCCTAAACAAAGTTGAGCTTCAAACATCCCAAAAATGTTTTTGTAAATAGAATGCTCTGTAGCCAAAGAATAGCCAAAGCCAAAGGTTGGAGGAGTCCAGTAGGTCCACCCACTACAGGAGGGGGGAGACAAGACCAGTCACCCTGCACAAGGTGTAGTGACCAGTCTTTATTATACAGATTCCTGTACAGAGGCATAATACAGGAGGTGCTTTATGCTAGATTTCTGCAACATTCTGGTAGAGAGATTTAACAGAATGGTTATTCGGCCAAAAGATCAGAAAGAGAGTAACTGTAAAGTGCAATTTACTAAACGGGGCAAAGTTAGGCAGCTTTTACACTGAGGCTGCTGAACAGAATACAGTATAAAATCCTAGAATACAAAGTCATAGAAAAGAATAGAATACAAGAGAATAGAATGAACTATAAAATGCTAAAATAGAATAGAATGAAGTAGAATAGAAAAAATAGAATATATTTTATTAGAATAGAATGACTATAGCCATCTTTCGAATTTCAGAAGTTGGCTATGTTTGTTCTATTTTTCTCTATTCTTTTGTATTTTTTATTCTGTTTTCTTCTATTCTTTACAAAATAAAATAAGGAATGCGCTGTAAATCACTTAATTAGTGCACATATAACAAAAAGTCCATGTGTCAATTCCAAAAAAAGTCACTCTATAAATTTGGTGAAAAATAAAAATAAATATATTCGTGCTCATAATCCACCACCAGAAGAAATAAATAGACTCACCAGAGCTAAATGCTGATTAATTAAAACCAGCAAAAAGTACTGTTGCTCTGGGAGCGATGGTAATAAAATCCAGATTTTCAAAGCAGTACTCTATAGAGGAATGGAATATCCAAACTTGGGAGCAATACTCTGCAGCAGCAACATCAAGCCAGCATCTAGGAGCCTTTAATTAATCGTCTCCTCCATTCATGATCATGGAACCACACTCGCAATAGCATCAGATTGCAGATAACAAACGAATCCCACTCACCGCGGATACCTCCGCTACTACCAGGGAGCGTCCTGACGTCATGAACATCCAGGGCTCCGCCCTACGCATTTAGTCACAAATGACGTCCTCATGGAGCGGCTCACAAATGGCGTAATTTGTGATGAAACGCGTAGGGGGGAGCCTGGATGTTCATGACGTCAGGATTCGTTTGTTATCTGCAATCTGATGCTATTGTTTATTGCTGATCATGCTGGTGTTGGCATGACACCTTGTTTGTGAGTTTTTTTACTTACCTTTGAATAAATGTGATGATTTTAAAACATGCTGCACCATCATTCCTTTTCTTTATCCCCGAGTGTGGCTCCATGATTCTTCTGGTGGTGGATTATGAGTACGAATATATTTATTTTTATTTTTTTCACCAAATTTATAGAGTGACTTTTTTTTATATGTGAATTAACACATGGACTTTTTTTTATTATTATATTTAATTTTATATATTTTATATATAATTTTTTATATAATTTGATTTTTTTTTTTTCATTTTTTTTATCGGCGCTTTTTCTTTCCTTTTTGATTGATTGTTCTATTCTTTATTCTATTCTATAAAGCAGCCTAAGGCATCCTCTTTTCCTTTTTTATACCTTACTGTACTTACTGCATTAAGTTTCCATTTCGAATTAGAATTCTTATCATTTCGAATCGACTTGAAATAACCAACATACAAAAATAATCCGAATATAGGAAAACAACTCCAAAAATGAAAAATTTCAACATAACAAATTTGATGAAACATTACATTATTAACTTAAAAACAGATCCGGAGCACAACAAAACAAATTTTACGATTGTGCACATCTCTAGTGCTTGTTTAAAACCTCCCCTCCCCATTGAATTACATTGAAAATGCATCAAAACTGCATCAAAATGCTTCCATTTAAAAACCAGTCCACCCAGTAAAACTGGAAATTTGTCCTGTTTATTGTGATCACAGGGAGTGAAATTATAGGCAGTGAAATCACAGAGAGTGAAATTACAGAGACTGAAATCACAGGGAGTGAAATCACAGGAGAGAAATCACAAAGAGTGAAATTACAGGGAGTGAAATCACAGGAAGTGAAATCACAGAGAGTGAAATCACAGAGAGTGAAATCACAGGGAGTGAAATCACAGGAGTGAAATCACAGGGAGTGAAATCACCGAGAGTGAAATCACAGGGAGTGAAATCACAGAGAGTGAAATCACAGGGAGTGAAATCACAGGGAGCGAAATCACAGAGAAAATCACAGGGAGCGAAATCACAGAGCGAAAATCACAAATCACAGGGAGCGAAATCACAGGGAGTGAAATCACAGGGAGTGAAATCACAGAGAGTGAAAAGAGTGAAAGACAATCCAAAATGTAGGGTTGTCACCAGAATGGTAATAGAGAGGGAATCTTTCAAATATCTTGGTATCACTTAGTCAATTACTTTTTTTTTTCTCTTTAGCCCTTTTATTCTGATGTTGAATTTTTTGTTATTGCAGATGGCCCAGAAAACGTGAAAGTAAAATACAAGTCATCTTCAAAATCTCTCCTTTTATTAGAATGTTCTGCTGATTCTGTCCCACCAGCCACCTACCATTGGAGACTAAATGGGACAGATATAAAACAACAGCAGAGCCAGCTTCAGGTAGCTCAGAGGAGGTTGAAGTGAGGGGACTTACACATGTGTGGCCAGGAACTCAGTGACGCAGCTTACTGCCATGGACTCTGTATATGTGAATGTAACATTCGGTAGGTATAAGAATCATCTGCCATCAGAGCAGAATTCCATCACTAAAGGCTCGGTTTCCATTAGTGCGACTCCAAAGTCCAGTGCGACTTTGGTGTGCAAATTTTGATAATTGTGATGCAACTTTTACACTCTCTGGCACTCAAGTGACATCAAAGTATTGATGTAGTGAAGTTAATTCAGGAACCTTTGTTGTTGAGTCTTTAAGTCGCATTGATTGGAAAGAGTGCCATTGAAATTAATGGGCTGCGACTTGTCATGCGACTTTATGTATCCAAAGTCACATGACCAGTTGCACAAGTGTGAATGGAGCATTGAACCTGTAAGTACAAAACATTGGTGTCTCTCAATATCTTTTTAATTTAGAAGTGTATTTTGTATATCTGGTCCTAACCTAGCTTTAAGTCACACTGCTGCAATTTTAAATCGCATGATTTGTGTGCAATTTCAGGTGCGATTTCTGAAGACTTTATTACTAATTGTGAAGATTTCCAACGACTTCTTGAAATTTGCAGTGTGATTTCCATTATATTCTATTCTATGAATGTGAAGTCGCAACAAAACTATAGAAAAAGTAATGCAAGAACTACATGTTAAGACACCGACATTCATTAGATGCGATTTCAGGTGCGATTTCAATTTGTAAATCGCACCGGCACTAAAGTGTATCTAAAGCCAAAACAATATCTTTTTATTTTGGAACGAGTGGTAAAGCTTCACAACATCAGTCTGGTTATGTTGCTGTCTGTGTCCCCCGTTGCAGAGATTCGCTCTCTATATTTGATCTGGTGACCATTGTCAATGGAAGTGGAAGGGAGGGGTAAAACCAAAATCTGAGTTGCCGCCAGAACAGGAATAGAGGGGAAATCTTTCTAATGGTGACACCTATTCTGGGGACCTCACTTTGGAGAGATTCTCTCTCACTTCCTGTTGTGGCTACGGGACAAATAGTGAAAGGAAATCTCCCGCTTTTGGGAAATTAAAAAAAAAACCTGACAGGGGGTTAACCACTTGCCTACCGAGCACTTTCACCCCCTTCCTGCCCAGGCCAATTTTCAGCTTTCAACACTGTTGCACGTTGAATGACAATTGTGTGGTCATGCAACACTGTACCCATATGCATTGTTTTGCATTTTTATCACACACAGCTTTCTTTTGGTGGTATTTAATCACCACTGGGTGTTTTTATTTTTTTTGCACCATTAAAAAAAAAAGAGCAAAAATTTGAAAAAAAAAGTTTTTCTTTGTTTCTATTATAAAATTTTGCAAACAGGTAATTTTTCTCCTTCAGTGATGTGCATTGATGAGGCTGCACTGATAGGCAACACTGATGGGAACTGATAGGCTGCACTGATGAGGCGGCACTGGTGGGCATTGATGAGGAGGCACTGATAGGCGGCATTGGGCATGATAGGCGGCATGGTGCGCTGACTGACGGCATTACTGGGCACTGATGGAAGGCACTGCTGGGCACTGGTGGGTGGCACTACTGGGTGGCACTGCTGTGCACTGATCATCAGTACCCTGATGATCGGTGCAGATGTCCTCTGTGTCATTTGCAGTTATCAGCAGTACTTTCCTCATGCTGGGACAGAGTGAGGAAAGTGCTGCCAATAACCAGCAACTGTATTTACATTGTGATCTTGCTGTGTCATTGGACACAGCTGATCACGTGGTAAAAGGCTGCTGTGATTGGCCTTTTACCTCCATAATGTCCTACAGACACAGTGATCACGTTTTTTTTTTTTTTTTTGCTAATCAAACGGAAAAAAGTTTTTTTTTTTTCTGTTATAAAATTTAGCAAATAAGTAATTTTTCTTTCTTCACTGATGTGCACTGATGAGGTGCCACTGATAAGCTGCAGTGATGGGCACTGATAGGCAGCACTGATTGGTACTGATAAACTGCACTGAAGGGGCTGCACTGGATAATCAGTGCAAACAAAGTACTGACAGCCTTGACGGGTATCGGCTGTCCTTTCTTTTACATAGACATAGACACAGCGTGTGAGGAAAGGACTGTTAATAACCAGCAAGTCTGTTTACATGTGATCAGCTGTTTCCCCGTGGTTTCCCGCACCACATTCCAAACACAATGCCCTTGTGATCTGCAGTGGGTGTCAGTGCACAGTTAACAACACAGCAAATGCAAGTTGCAAATGCAGTGCGTTTGTCCACACAAGATCAAATGGTACAAAAGTACCATGCGATCAGGTTGCAGTGCCTTTCAAAAAAGTAGTCCATGTGGTACTTTTGGTGCGGTGCGGCGCGACTGCTGCAGCCCATTCAAAATGAATGAACTGAAATTGCACTGCACAATAGACATGCACACGCCGCAATTGTTTGTTTCATTTAGTTTCAGATGCATTCATTCATTGAAGAATTTAGTTTCGTCATATTCATTATTTTGAACCAATCCTTTTTCGGGATTCATTTTGTTTATTCTTTGGTAGATTCAAAACTTTTTTCAACTTTTTTCAGAAGATTGCTATACTTTTCGGGTGGATTCGATATTCAGGATTCAATATTTTTGGACGCCATTGAATGCATAATGCAAAATTCGTCGGGCCCAAATTTTTCAAACCTAAGAATTGCATTAGATTTCGGAACTGAATGACTGTGACAATTACAAATTCAATTTAAATCACAAATTCACTTGAATTTGAATGATTTATTTTATTATTTATTATTAACAAATTGGAAAATTGAATTAATTTCCCCATGGGCCAGAACTACTATCGCATTATGTGGCGTCATCCAAAATGAAGCAATAGCTTACATTATAACTTTTTTTTGGATTCGTTGATGTTCATTACTATGTCCATTCAGAGATTCGTGTACATCAGATTCCCCAAAAATCAGATTTTCGGCCAATAATTGATTATGAAATAATGCGCATGTCTACTGCACAGAACTGCATGTGAATCGCACAGGAATGCTGTTCTAGTATGAATGGACCTTACACTTTTTTCTTAAAAAAAAAAAAAAAAATTACCCGTTGCTGTAGTAATTGCTTAAAAAAAAAACATTAATAAGTGTTGAGCTTTGCTTTATTTTTCACTAAAATTCAATCTAAAGAATACATAAACACGATGTTTCATATTCCTGATAGGTCCCCCCCCCACCTGTACAGCAATTCACTGGGAAAGTCAGTGCACTGCTGATTCTCCTCCCCTAGCTCTTATGCAGGTGAGAACAGAGGGTATCTGATCACTTATGGAAAAAAAGGGTATTTATAATGTTTTTCATATCTATACACAAATGTTTTGCCTTTCGTTTCTATTTTAAACTGCATAGGTTGTTTTACCTATGAGCTGGCTGAGCACAGCTAGAGAACTGACCACGCTGTGCTCTCCTGCCTAGTGTGGTCAGATTTTAATAGGAAAGCAGAGAGGGACTGCCAGGAACACCAGGGATTTCACACAAAAGAAGCAATACAGGAGTCTTTTTTTTTCACACAGGTACATGGTACAACAGGCACTTATCAGGAATATGAAATGTTGGGGTTACATACTCTTTAACTTTTATTAAGCAGCTAATCAGAAGCATTTAAAGTGAACCTGAGCTTTGCCCATGTAGGTTTACTTTAATACTCATATCCCCAAGCACCATACACTAATCTTTTCTTTACTCCTCAATACCTGTTTCTTTGCCCTTTGTGGCAAAAGCACAGATTAGCTTTAAATAATTATAATTACAAAGTTTATATATATAATTTAAAAATATTTATTTTCATATATATATATATAAAAAAATTGCTTTATAGTAATGGGTAACACGATCACAAGAAATTATGCCTTAAAAAAAAAGAATGAGTTGTAGGGTTGCTTAGTGAAGCACAACAGTAAATTCCTCTCTGCAGTCCCAGGAGAAGATATAGATAAAGTTCATTAACACAAAAACTAAAACACTGTAAAGCTCAACATAGTAATGATACACACAGTATACATTTCATTTTCACCTTGGTAGTAGTTTATTTATCATATTTTTGTACTATGGCCCGTATCTTTGATAGGCTTCTCCCTGCATCCCTTTGTCTTATCTGCAAAGAAATGTTTCCCTTCAAGTAGGATGCTGTCCGCTCATTATAAATTCAGTATTGACATGGCCATCCATCAGTGGTTTCTTTCTGTAGTCCATGTGACCAAAAAAGATCCCTCACCAGCTTGTCTCCTGACTCGATGAGAGAAGACACCTTACATTTCCTGAATGACTGGGTTTTGTGGATCCATCTGCCCACTTAATGCCAAATTCAAAATCCTCTATAACGGTAGAGGCACCAACAGGCGATAACTTATGGTGACCTATGTCCAGTGGCGGCGGCGGACATCGTGATTGATGTTGGATCTACTTTGGGGGACATTCTTTTATTAAAGGACTAGTTAAAGAATGATCCTTTCTTTTTTTCACATTACAGCTTTTTTTTGGGAATGGGTAGCGGTACTATGTACCCAGGGGCAGACTGACCATTCGAGCACTTGGGCACTGCCCAATGGCCCGGGTTCAGTAGAGGGCCCCATGCCCCTGGTAACTTTTTGATAGGCTTTTTTGAGTGTGGGCAAGGACACAGGGGCCCCATGATCCCCTATTGCCCGGGGGCCCCAAGAGTTGTCAGTCTGCACCTGTATGTACCCATACTCATTCACATGGGGGGGCAGGAATCTGGGGGCCCCCCTTGCTAAAGAGGGCTTCCAGATTCCAATAAGCCCCCTGCCCACAGACCCCCACAACCACAGCCCAGTGTTGTGGGAAGAGGCCCTTGTCCCCATCAACATGGGGACAAGGTGCTTTGGTGGGGAGGAGCTCCCCCTACCCAAAGCACCCCCCCCCCATGTTGAGGGCATGTGGCCTGGTATGGTTCAGGAGGGGGGGCACTCGCTCGCCCCCCCCCTTTCCTGACCTGCCGGGCAGCATGCTCGGATAACGGTCTGGTAAGCATTTTGGGGGGAACCCCACGCCATTTTTTCTTTAAATTTTGGTGTGGAGCTTCCCCTCAAAATCCATATCAGACCCGAAGGGCTTTTTTTTTATTTTTTTTAATTGCCGGCAATTCTTTCTTTTACATTCAGTTGTCAGTGGGAATCCTGCTGACAGCTGAAACATTAATGCATGCTTTTCACTACTAAAATACCGCATGACTTGACAAAATAACTCATGCGGTATTTTAGTAGCCTTTTTTAGTAAATTTACTATTTTTCAGTGCATTCTGGTCATTTGGAAGGTCTCCTGAGGTTATCTTTTAAAAACACTTCTAAATGCTTTCATAAACGCTGCTAAACGTCCCGTGTACATTAAGCCTTAAACTTTCATACCTCTGCAGTTCCTTTGGAACCTTCTACCCTCAATACAGGGTGGAACATGTAACACAGTATTTCAACAACCTCCTACCTTTACTACTCCTTTCCCCCCGATCCTCCTTCCCCCATGACATGGGTGGGGGTTCTTCTCCTCTTACCTACTGTCAATTTTTTAAAAGAGCACAGCTGTGTAGAGCTCCACCAGCACAGTTCATTCATTCATTCATTCATTTGTCATTCTCAGTTTCTGTGAATGAATAAACTGCAAGTACCGTCTTCTACTATTGCAGATGGACTTGAGTTTCAGAGGACTGTGTATAGAGAGTAAGGGCTGGAAGCCAGAGGATATATCTGCAGGAGCCCACATTGCACCCATGATCTACTGATCACAAGTGCAATGCTTTCCAGGCTCAATATTTTCTGCAAAAATATGTGCTTTTTATTCTTTCCATAAAGGTGAACTTATCCATTAAGCATTTGGGTTTAAAAAACACACTTTATAAATTTTTGTTTTGTTCAATGAAAATTGTTTTTGTTCATTTACTTTCAGGTGCTTTGATAACATTCTAATTCTCCATTTTCTCTTGTAATTTCCCTCTATCTGACCTATTTTGTCCTCCAGCTTCAACACTATGTCAGACCTCTGGAAGTGGACTTGGCGGTGGGGAAATTGCTGGAATTGTCATCGGCACAGTGTTTGGGATATTCCTCCTTGAAGTCATTGTGTACTTTGTTCTAAAGGCAAAAAGAAGTACAGTATAGTATTCTTCTTCCTGTGTTCGAGTAAACTTCATCATAATATATCGTTTAAACCGTATTTTTGATCAGATCAGCATTACAAAAAATGTAAAACACTTGAATAAGTACATATAGAAAACTAAGTAATTGATCAGATATTCTAGTGAAGGAGTTTCTACAGGATGTTCAGGTCAAATCTGAGTTTGACCATAGCTGCCATGTAGAGCAAAACACACAATTTTATTGGATTAACAACATTTGTCTTTATTTTTATTATTATTTTTTAAATTAGATCACCCATAGGTTTACGGCCACCCACCTAAAATTGAGTAGGCCCCCTTATGCTGCCAAATGAGCCCTATCAACGCATGACCCTCCTAGAGCTCTGAAGGTATGCTGTAGTATCTGACACCAAGCAGTCAATAGCAGATTCTTTACGTTCTGTAAGTTGAGAGGTGGGGCCTCCATGGATCAGACTTGTTTTTCCAGCACATCCCGCAGATGCACAATTGGATTGAGATCTAGAGAATTGGAGGTCAAGTCCACACCACAAAAACTCGTTGTGTTACTCAAACCATTCTTGAACATTTGCTTTGGGTGGCATTTTTTCTGACCCCTCCCCCCCCCGGCAGAAATGACACAGGAGGTGGCAGTGCACACAGGAGCCAATATCTGCAGGGCACACA